AGTGAGTGGCATGTGAATGGTACTCACAAAGGACCCGAAGACAGGGAATCAGTTAGTCAGGAATGTTCTGAAGGTGTCATGGAGGGAGGGGCATTTATACCAATGCAGAGCGGGTATGGCTGGAGGGGCAGGAATGCAGGCATGTTTATGGACACGGTGCACCTTCCAGGGAGGCTCCAAAAGGCCAGCTGAAGACTTCACCCTTAATCATCAAGGCACCGGGGAGCTATGGAAGGTTCTGGAGGAGGAGAGTGACTACTAAAAAAAAAAAAAAAAGCCTTAGCTTTGTTAAATTGGTGTTTTGACTTCTCCACAAGAAGGGTCAGCAGTTTTAGCGTTAGTCCCTAGAGCAGAAATGTGGGAGAAAATAGCAGGGATGTGGTGGGACAAGTCAGATGCTCTGGGTTCAAGCCGCAGCTGTCCACTTCAAGGGCACCAGGCCCCACTGAGTCACCTTACTGCTCCAAGCTTCAGCCTCCTCTGCCAGGCACCGGGGGGCAGGCAGCAGGGCCAGGAAGTGCCCAGCGCAGGCCCCATTCGGCAGCAGAGGCGAGCAAGTTGGAGCAGGATTTCATTAGTATTTGGGTTAAAATAGAGAAGGAGTGGGAAACCGAGTCACAGAAGTGATTACGAAGGGAGGTGGCAGGACGGTGAAGTTCAGGCTGCTGGAGGTGGGCATCACGCGCATGCTCTTGGGGAATGTTCTGTGGGTGATCCCTCCTCAGACTACCTGGCCCTCGGTGGGCCCCAGGGTTCTTCTCGGCCCCTCCAACTTCCCCAAAGCCCCTGAGGCCAGGGGGCCGAAAGAGGCCGGGTAAGGATTTCTTCTTCCACTAGGAGCTGTTTCTGGGCCAAGGCTGCCTGGTTGCGGATCCAGTCTGAGGGAGGGTTCCAGAGGCCCACCCCGCCCTCCGTGGCCCAGATGGCATCGGGATCATAAAATCATCCTGTTTCCCCAAAGAGGACAAATGGACAGAGAGTTGAGAGTGAGGAAGACGCCTCCCCCAGCCTGGGGACTGGGATCCGGGGTCAGGAGGCGGCGGGTTGGCATGGGGTCCTCGGGGCAGAAAGCATGCTCTGCAGCTTGGCAGCCGCTGGCCTTAGCCATGGTCCAACGTCCCCAGAGCCCTGGCACCGACCACCTTTCTGCTTAAAGAGGCCGGGCCTTCCCAGAACAGGCAGAGACCTCTGAGCCTGTGTGCGTGTGTGTGCGTGCGTGTGTGTGTGTGTGTGTGTGTGTGTGTGTGTGTAAGGGAAGCCCAGGGGATGGGGCTATCCCAGGTGGGCAAGTTTAAATCAAATTACAGAGCATTATTCCTGAAAAAGACCTCAAACCATCCAGTCCAACCTTTTAGACATAAGGAGGCTCAGACAGGGGATGGATTTCCAGTTAGAAATCACGGGAATCATTATTTAATTCATCCAATCATTTGGTCATTTGTTCTTTCAATGATTCCGCAACCTTACCAAGCCCCTGTTAGATTCCAGACGTCACACCAGACTGTGGGCACCTGGGGCTGAAGAAGACAGGGCCCAAGCTCCCATGAGTCTGAGACCACATGGGGAGTGAAAGGGCCAGGCTGGAGGTCACCCCAAGCAGAGGAGGGCGCGGAGGCCCTGAGAGGGGTGGCAAGGTGGGTGGACAGGAGTGATCTTGGAAGGCTTCCCAGGGGAGGTGATGTCTGGTCTGGGTGTGTAGGAATTTTCTGGAGGATCAAAGCAGAGATAACATGTCCCCTATATGTGGACTCCCTGCCCAGTGCTCTTCCCAACCCACTGTGCACTGCACCATTTTACCATCCCAGGGCCACCTGGAGGTAACTGGGAGAAATGGGCCCTCTGTCACCTTGGCTTGGCCCAGCCCCCACAGAGCCACAGGCCCCAAAGCCACTGAGGCACTGTGGGGACGGCATGACTGCAGAGGCCCAATGTGACTCCAAGGGAGGCCATGCAGGGAGACAGAGACCAAGGGCAACTCTGCGGCAGGCCTCGTGTTAAATGATCAGCCTCACACTGCAGCGTGACTGTCGGAGGAGAAAAGACTTGAGGGTTCACTGGGCCATTTTACAAGATGAGAAAGCCGAGGCCTAGGCTGGGGGAGCCTCCTGCTCAAGGCCACACAGCAATTCAGTGGCAGAGCTGGGAGGAGGCCAGCGTGCTCCCCTGGGTGGTAGTCAAAAATAAGTTTATTCCCTACGGAACCCTGGAGCCATCATAACACGCTATTTTAAAGGTCTTTATAAAACTCACAGAAACAAAAAAGAGCAAGAGCCCAGGAAGAAACACAATCAAGAAGAAATACGGAGGTTACAACTTGTGAAGGTCTGTTCTTGAGTGTGTCCTGCATGAGGTTCAGTTGGCTCCCCCTCCTGCAGGATGCCTTCCCTGACTCCCCTCCGGCCACACTGGTGCCTCCAGCGAGCAGCCCTGGTGCTGTGTGCCCTGTACCTTCATCTACATTTGAACGTAACAGACCTCCATGGACTGGAAGCTCCTCGAAGGCAGAAGTGGTGTCTCCTTCATTGCTGTGCTCCAATTACCCAGCACATGGTAGATGCCCAGGAAACACGTTTAGTTAAGTCAATGACTGCACGATCAAAGAGCCATGCCTATTCCTGAAGATGCAGGCAAAGGAAAAGAGAGCATGGCCTCCTCCATCCCTCCCTCCCTACCTCCCTCCCCCCATCCATACCTCTTTTTTTTTTTTAAAGATTTCATTTATTTGACAGAGAGAGCACAAGCAGAGAGAGAGAGAGGGAGAAGCAGGCTCCCTGCTGAGCAAGGAGCCCAATGTGGGACTCGATCCCAGGACCCTGGGATCATGACCCAGGCCGAAGGCAGCCCCTTAACTGACTGAGCCACCCAGGGGTCCCCCATCCATACCTCTTTCCATCCATCATCCCCTCCCTCCTTCCGTGCCCCCCTCCCTCCCTCCCTTGCTCTCTCCGTCATCCATCCATAGATGCATCCAGAAGCATTTCTTGAGCACCATTGTGGGCAGGCCTCTGATTTAAACAAAGAGGAATGGGGCCTGGTCTCTAAGTGAAAAGCTCACTGTTGGCAGGGGCCTTCTCAGAAAATGACCATCAATGTTTGGGAGAAAAGAGCAGAGTAATTTCGAGATGTGATTTAATCAAAATTTCCTGGTCCCCGAAATCCATCTCTGTTATATGACCAGCAAAAGACTGAGGCCAGGGAAGGACCACTGGCAAGACTGGAGAAAACCCAGTGTGACATCTGACGGGGGACAGACCCACCTGCTAGAACCACCAGGAACCTTTCCATTATTAGTGATCTCAGCCCTGGGGCTCCTGACCATCAGTGCATTGTCCCCCACTCCTGAGGCTCTGATGCAAGCAGTGACTACGGACCTCGGATAGCGGTAGGACAAATCCAAGTGACAATCCAAGGGAGCCTTGGCCCCAGCTTGCCTCTGGTCAGCCTGCCACATGGGCCATGGCCCCTGAAGACCCTGCTGCCCCCAGAGAACCTGACCAAGGGCCAGCAGTCACATCAGGAGCTGCGTATGCTTTGCCGCAGGTCATGCCTTCACCTTCTTTTCTCCTTTGAGCCCGTGGAAGATCCTGATTGTGAAGTACCATTCTTCCCCTTTCCCAGATAAGAAAATGGAGGCTCAGGAGGGTGAGCCAAATTGACAAGGTGATAAAGTTTGCATCCGTCAGCAGGAAGGCAAGCATGGTTCCCTGCCTGACTGATCCCCTAACAAGGCCTTTTAGGGACGTGACTCAGGATCAGGACATAATTAAAGTCGTACATGGCATCTTCCAGTTTACAGCCCAAGTGAAAACAGCCCCGTGCTGGCCCAGGGAATTTGGAACACTATCAGGACTTGGGATTAACCCCCCTACATGGTCTTCCAGTAAGTACCCAAGCCAAGGATGCAGGCGATGCCCCCCAAGCCAGGGATGGTTTTTCGAGTCCCTTCTTAGAGTTCTGTACCATTCAATTCAAAGCAAAAAGGCATTCCTGGGGGCCGCCAGCAGTCATTTCTGTAACGAAATGAAATTCGCTTTCAGACCCCACGAAGCACCCCCCCCACACACACATCCGAATGCTGACAAGCCCCCGTGGTGATGGCAGCTCTGTGAGCTCCCGGCGGGGACCTCGCCCACACCTGGCTTAGCAGCGCTCAGGGAGCAGCCACGCGACAGCCCCACCCCCACGGGCCCCCGAACCTGTGGGTCGAGAGCCCCCCACCCCGGAGTTCCCATGCAGGCTGCACGGTGGCTGAGTCAGGAGCTACCTTGCTGTCGCCACCGCCCTCAGCCCCCCGCCTGTGGCAGGTTTTGGGGGGAAAGTGCCGCCCCGCCCACGGCCTCTGAGTGTCACAGTGCCACTGTCATGTGCTCTGCCCCAGGCTCTGGCTTCCACCTTTGCTGCCCTGGAGCACCTTCTGAGTGCCTGCTGTGTACCAAGGCGGTGGCCAGGAAGCCAGCCTTGGAGTCCAACAGCGCATTTCCAGTCTGGCTCCCCCCACACACACACCCCCGACCCACACACCCCATGCCTCATTTTCCCCGTCGGCAGGACTAAGTCATAAAGGGTGCCTGGCACGCACCCGAGAGCAGTCACTACCGCAGCTCAGTGAGTCGACACAGGTCATCCTGCTTTAATAAATGAGGAGCCGAGGCTCGGAGAGGCAAAACCACTGGCTGGCGGTCACACGGCTGGTGGTGGCAGGGCCTGGGCTGGAACCCACGAAATTCAGACACCAAGTCCCGGCTGCTGGCCCTCCCTCCTCCGCTCTTGAGGGCCCAGCCCCAGCCAGCAGCGCCCCTCCCCCATGCTGTGCGCTCACACCCAGGGCAGGGGGGGGGGGGTGTTCCTAAGGGCCCTCCCTTCCTACTTCCCCCAGCACCAGGCTTACCAGCCAGCTGGGGGAAGGGCTCTCACGGAAAAGGCAGCCTTCAAGGTTATGATACAACCACGCAAGGGGGTGGTAATGTGGACTTGTTGGGGAACCGCGCGGGTGGGTGGAGCCAGAGCGCCTTGGGATTCTGACGGGTCTGAGTAGGCATCTGCAGGTTCCCGGCTGGATGACCTTGAGCAAGTTTACCTGCTCTGCTCTGTCGGATGGAGGATTAAATGAGATCATGGGTAAGAGGGCACCCCAAGTGTCAGCCAGGATTTGGAGAAATGGGAACTCCACTGCATTGCTGATGGGAATGTAACACGGTGTAGCTGCTGCAGGGAAACAGTTTGGAGGCCCCTCAGAAGGTTAACCCAGAATTCCATGTGACCCAGCAACTCCACTCCTAGGTATGGGTGGGAAAGAATGCAAAAAAGATTCTAGTCAAGTACAAATACACACATGTTCCCTGCACCTCAGTGGTGCAGTCGGGTAAGGCACAGACTCTTGATTTCCGCTCAGGTCATATTCTCAGGGTGGTGAGATTGAGCCCAGGTTTGTGCTCAGCGGGGAGTCTGCTTGGGACTCCCTCTCCCTCTGACCCTGCCCCTCTCAAATAAATAAATCTTTAAAAATACCCAAATACACACATGTTCATAGCAGCACTATGCACAACAGCTAAAAGGTGGAGACAATCCAGATGCCCACCCACGGATGAACAGGTATACAAACGGTGCTCTCTCCATACACAGAACGTTATTCAGCCAGAAAAAGGGATGAAGTCCTGGTGCAAGTTACAACACCTGTGAACTTTGAAAACTAACTGGAAGAAGCCGGACACAAAAGGTCACATACTGTACGATACCACGTATATGAAATGTTCGGAATGGGTAAGTCTGTGGAGACAGAAAGCAGATGAGTGGCTGCCTGGAGCTGAGGAGAGGGGAGAATGGGGAGCGACTGCTTAATGAGTTTGGGGTTTTATTTGGGGTGAGGAAAATGCTTTGGAAGTAAGTAGAAGGGGTGGTGGCACCACATTGTACATCAGCTAAATACCACCAAGTTTTTCTCTTGAAAAGTTGACTTTAAGTCATGTGGATTTAACCTCATTAAAAACAAACAGGGGCTTGCACACTCTGGCTGGAGTCAGACAGTTGCCTTCAGGTCCTGGCTCCGCTGAGCTTTCCAGAATGTTCTAGAATGTCCTCCTGAAGAGGAGCAGAGAAATGGGTGCCCCCTGGAGGGGATGTGGAGTCAGAGGAGGACATTTTAAAGCTTGGCGATGCTTGCAAAGTTCTTGACAGGTGAGAGGGCAGGGGACCCAGCACGAGACAAGGACCTTTGCTTTGTGGTCGCTGGAGGGCAGGTAAAGAGTTTGGGTACAGAGTGCGCAGCTGGTTGCTTAGAGGGCAGGACAGTAAAGGCAGGTGCATCCCCTTGATTCCTGGGTGAGGCAAGGCCACCGACTGAGTGAGAGAACCGGGAAAACACGTGGGACAGAGGGCAAGTGTGACATTATTGACTCGGACGGCCTAGAGGAGTGTGGGAAGATTGGGGGCATGGTGGAGGCGCCCAGGGCACCCAGAGGCTCGGGCGAGCGGCCAGACTGCGGATCAAGGCCCTCCACTTGGTGACCATCCTTGCACTCGAAGCCATTTTGATATTGCGTGCACTAGTTTCTCAGAACTGAGTCCCCGAAGTGGATGCGGATGAAGGCATATGAACATGTTCAAGTGACATGGGAAGCATATTGTGAAGTTGCTCTCCAAAATCAGTTGCCCCAGCTCTCGCCATCCCCGCAACCTCACCAGAAGGCTTCTTGTCCCCGCGCACCATCACCAGAAATTGGCATGTCATTTAAAAAAAAAAAAAATCCTAGGGGCGCCTGGGTGGCTCAGTCATTAAGCGGCTGCCTTCGGCTCAGGTCATGGTCCCAGGGTCCTGGGATCGAGCCCCGCCTCGGGCTCCCTGCTCGGCGGGAAGCCTGCTTCTCCCTCTCCCACTCCCCCTGCTTGTGTTCCCTCTCTCGCTGTGTCTCTCTCTGTCAGGTAAATAAATAAAATCTTAAAAAAAATAAAATAAAACAATAAAAAAAATCCTTGCTAATTTGATAGGAAAGAGGAGTATTTCATTATTGTGCTAGGAGCTTTTCCATTTCTTTGATTCATGGCGAAGTGAAACATGTTTTCATAAGCTTATTAGCTATTTGTCTTTTTCTCTTATTATAGATTGCCCTTTCGTGGCATATTTAAAGAGTCTCCGAGGTAAATCTCAGTGAAACAATGGCCACACAGTCCATCAGGAGCGAAGCCAGGAGCAAGCTTGCAGAGAGGAAGCAAGCATGTGGTTATTTCCTTTTCTGGCAGCTGTGACGGCATGAAGAAACAAAAAGCCAGTAAACTGAGTCAGGGCTTATGGCTTATGGCAGCAGATTTTAAAGATAATTTAAGATCGAAGGCTTTGTCTGAACTGTCACCTCTTCCCTTCTGACATACCCACAGACAAACACAAACACATGCCAACAACAGTGAGGAATTATTTACAGGGTTCTCTCTCAGCTGAGCTTTTTGTGATGACTTTTATTAATTATTGAATAATTCAATAAATAATTCATGATTTTCCTGCTGGTGAAGGCATGATCAAAAACTCATGAGTACAAGTCAGGTCAACCCACGGTCTTCCTGAAGCTGGGATAGACCCTGATTATATTTCCACACGTGTGAATGAGGGCGTGAGCATGTGTGTGTCTTTGTGTATGCGTACATGCCCGTGTGTGCACACACCTGCGTGAATGCCGACCGGTGTAGAAGCCTGCGTGTAGACAAGTGTGTGAGTGAGTGTGCATATGAATGCATGCTGAGCAAGCCATGTGAGTGTACAAGGGGAGGTATATATCCTGGAAAGAGTGAGCGGAAAAGGTGTTTCTCTGCTGATTTTATAATCTGCCGATTGTTCTAATTTCTTTGGTCTCTGGTGGTGGGACTGGTAGCTCTTTCTTCATTATCTATACAGATGATTCTTAATAAAAACATCCAGATTTCAGATTAAAATAAAAAAATATGCATGCATTGGAGACCAGTAAGGAGCAGGGCATGGGACAATGGGGAAAAATAAGGAATATCACTTCCTTTTTTCCCTTTATTCCCCAAGCTGGGCTTCTTAGTGCTGGGTGCATGATGTCACTGGGTCAGATCATTGAAGAATACAAAAGAGAAAGAGGAGAAGTAGCTCCTATGAAAAGGAAGTCTAAGCAGGCCATTGACCTTGACCTTGGTAGCATCAGCACGGTCTCCTTTGGATACCTTTGGGAGAGGGGCCCCGGGGCTCAGCCTGAGGATGTGATGGCTCTCTTGGTCAATTTGAATACCTTGTGTCCTGCAGTTGTGTTCATTACCTAATGTTTTTGGGCTTCTACTTATAAGTATATCTTCATTGTAGATCCCTGTCTGACAATCGCTGGGGGCCATCATTAGAGCTTTGAAGGTAAGTGAGTGCTGTGGCAGGGTCCCTGGGGCATCACGGGAGTGGAAAGAACAGGAGATAAGGGATAGATCTCAATTCCTATCTGGTCTCTACTACTCACTGGCTCTACAACAGGGCCCAGTTGCCTTGTTTCTCCTAGGCTCAACTTCCTTGAGTGGAAGTGGGACACTATTATCTATGAGGCAGGAACAAATTAACTAGCAGGATCTTGGGGAGAATTCAGTGGGCTGACCCTGACACAGTAGCTGGTACCCAGCTGGGTCATGATAATAGTTTACTCATCCCCTGCTCATCCCAAGGGGTAGCACCTAGACATCCCCAGGTCCCCCAGTGCCACAGATTGGCCTCGGGGTTGTGTTATCAATTACGGAGAAACACATGTTAAAATCTCCAACTCGGATTGCGATGCACCACTTCTCCATTTAGTTCTCTTTTCTGGCTTCATGCATCTTGAAGCTACCATGTGCCAGCACATTTATGGTTGCTCTCTTTCTGTTATATAGCCCACTTTATCGTTATGAAATGTCACTCTTTCTTTCTCCCAAATAATGCGCTTTGCTCTGAAGTTTACTTTGTCTACTATTAAGACAGTCACATATCAGCTTTCCTTGGGTTAGCCTATATGTGGTACCTCTTTTCCCTCCTTTAACTTTTAACCTGTGTCTCTATAGTTAAAGTGAATTTCTTATAGACAGCATATAGTTGGGTCTTGCTGTTCTGTCCAGCCTGACAATCTCTGCTTTTTAATTCACGTGTTCAATCCGTTTACATTTAGTATAATTATTGTCATGGTTGAGTCTAAGCCTATGATCTTGCTAATTTTTTTTACTTATCTCAGCTTTTTTGCTTTTCTGTTTCTCTTATACTGCTTTCTTTTGCATTGATTTTATTTATTAACATTCTATTTTATTTCCTCTACTGCATTTTTAGCCATACTTCTTGTCTTTATTGTTACTGGCTATTCTGTGGATATTTTTTAAAAAGATTTTATTTATTTATTTGACAGACAGAGACATAGCAAGAGAGGGAACACAAGCAGGGGGAGTGGGAGAAGGAGAAGCAGGCTTCCCACGGAGCAGGGAGCCCGATGTGGGGCTCAATCCCAGGACTCTGGGATCACGACCTGAGCTGAAGGCAGATGCTCAATGACTGAGCCACCCAGGTGCCTCTGTTCTGTGGATTCTAATATACAACCTTCACTTACCACAGTCCACTTAGAATCAATATTGCACCACTTCATATTTCTCTCTTCACATTTCTCAAATTTAAAAACATCACAAGAGTCCAATTATATTTACTTTCTTATCCTTTATGAATATTATTGCCATATACTTTACTTTGACATAGATAAACCTGATATTACAATGATATTACTTTTGCCTTAAACTGTGATGTCTCTTTTTTTAAAGATTTTATTTATTTATTTAAGAGAGAGAGAGAGAGAGAGAGCATACACAAGTGGGAGGAAGGGCAGAGGGAGAAGCAGACTCCCCAAAGAGCAGGGAGTCTGACACGGGCTCCATCCTAGGACCCTGAGATCATGACCTGAGCCAAAAGCAGACACTTAACCAACTGAGCCACCTAGGTGCACCACTGTGATGTGTTTTTTTAAAAATTAACAGAAATAAAAGCTAGTATGTTATATTTGCTTACATCTCTATCATTTCTTTCTTTTTTTAAGATTTTATTTATTTATTTAAGAGAGCGAGCGGGGGGAGGGGCTGCGAGAGGGAGAAACAGTCTTAAGCAGATTCTGCACTGAGCATGGAGCCCGACTCAAGGCCCAATCCCATGACTTCAAGATCATGACAGAAGCAGAAACCAAGAGTTGGCCACTCAACCATCTGTGCCTCCCAGGTGCCTCTCTATCATTTCTGCTGCTCACATTCACATCTTCAGATCTGAATTTCCCTGCAGATTTATTTCCATTCAGCCTAAAGAACTTCCTATAGTATTTCTTGTAGTACAGGTCTGGTGGTGACAAACTTTCTCAGCTTTCATTTATCTGAAAATATCTTTATTTTCCCCTTGCTCTTAACAGTTGTATTGAGACAATTCACATACCACATTATTCACCCATTTAAAGTGTATAGTGGTTTTTTGGTCTATGACGTACTGATTTTTTAAACTGTGGTAGATAGTTATAACACAGAACTTTCCATTTTAGCCATTTTTAATGTATAATTCAGTGGCATTAATTACATCCACAATGTTGTGCAACCATCACTACTATTTCCAGAACCTTTTCCTCACACACGAAATAAAAAAATGTAACCATTAAGCAGTAACTCCCCATGTCTTCCACTGGCTGCCAGCCCCTCTAGTTTACTTTCTGTCTCTATGAACTTGCCTAGTCGGTACCTCATATAAGTGGAATCATACAATATTTGTCCTTTTGCATATGCCTTATCTCACTTAGCATATATTTTCAAAGATCATCCTTGTCGTAGCAGGTATCAGCACTTCATTCCTTTTTAAGGCTGAATAATATACTCCATAGTCTGGATATACTACATTGTGTGCATCTATTCGTTCACAATGGACACTTTGGTGTTTCCACCTTTTGGCTAGTGTGAATAATGCTGCTGTGAACATGAGTGTACAAATATCCGTTTGAGTCCCTGCTTTCAATTACTTTGAGTTCATCCATATTTTTGAAAGATACAGAATTCTATGTTGATGCTTTATTTTTTTCTTTCTCTGCCTTAAGGATCCTATTCCATTTTCCTTTGGGTCTCCACCATTTCTGATGAGAAGTCAGCCTTGATTTTTGTTGTTCTTCTGTGTGTGATGTGTTGTTTTCGTCTGGCTGCTTTTAAGATTCTGGTCTTTATCTTTCATTTTCAAAAGTTTGACTAAGTTGTTTCTAGGTGTGGTTTTCAAGGTCTTGCTGAGCTTCTTGCATCTGTCAATTAATATTTTTCATCAAATTTGGGAATTTTCAACTAGTATTTCTTCAGATATTTTTCCGCCTTAGTTTCTCTCTCCATGCCTTCTGGAACTCTAAGTACATGTGTGTTACACTGCTTGATATTGACTCAGAGGTCATTGAGGTACTGTTAATTTGTTTTAAATTGTTTTTTCCTCTTTGTTCTTCAAATAGGATAATTTTTGTGGATTGAATTCAAGTTTTACTGCTTCTCGGATCTGGTGTTGGAGAGTGAATGTGAATGTGTAATTTTATTTCAAACTGTATTTTTCAGTTTTAAAACATTCACATGGTTCTTTTGTTTCCATTTCTGCTGAGATTTCTCATCTGTTTACTCAATCAGACCATCTTTTCCTTTAAGTCTTTGAGAAGATTTATAATAGCTTCTCTAATGTACTTATCTGCTAATTCTAACATCTGGGTATCTCTGGGTCTGTTCCTAGTGACTTCTTTTTTTTATCTTAATTATTGGACACACAGGAAATCAAATCATATCTCCTCCACTTTTTATCTGCATGACCAGGAATGAACCAAGCAGAGAAGGAGGCAGAAGAAAGATCTAGGCCTAGGGATAAGGAATAGCAGGCCCATTGGGGAGACACAAATTAATGAATCTCTCTGGGTCTCAGTTCTTTCATCTGTGAAATGGGAATAATAGTTAGCCCACATGATGGCTGTGGAGACTGAGGAGAGATAATGTAGGTCAATTGCTCAGTGTGTGCTCTTGCTCCAACTGGTCCTCAACAAGTGATATCTTTCATTACAATTATCATGTGAATCAGCCCTCACCCCCTCCACATATCCTCGGTTACCCCTCCACCTTATTCATCCACTCTATCAAAGATAGTCACATCCCTTGTAAAAACATCACTGCTCAGAGCTTCATGAGCCATGAGCACCTTGATCT